ATAATATGTGCCTTTCCTCTGCTTGAGATTTTGGTTTTGAATAAATCAGTTTCCAGAGAATGCTGGCCAAAATTCCTCTAGCTTCTATGGGTGGGTGGATGTGTCTGCGTGCACATGTTCATCAGATTAGAACATGGACCATCACTTTCCTATTGGTTCTTCCATTTTAGTGCTTGTTTTGCTCTGCTTCTCTGACTAGTATTATGGGTGTGCTTGCATCTTGTAGTTGTCATTTTTCTTCCATATATTTTAAAATCTGATAGAAAAAAAGCCTGGATTGTGTGTATCTTTATAGCTTAGAGTGTTCATAGTAAGTCATTGGGTAGATCGTCTTAGTTTGTTGGCGATGTATGCTTTATTTCAGTTATAAAGATACCTAAACATTGCATTACATTGATGATGATTCTTCTGTTCAAGAAACTTGCACGAGGTACTGTAGTTGTTTGTAGATGCCTTTGAATATGGATAAAGAGAGTGAGGGCAAATAAACCTAAATGTGATCCAGATAATTCCTTGGTGATACTGGGGAACTTAATATGCTAGTTGTCTGGGGATGGATTTTCTTGAACAGAACTGTTTTCTTTTGGCAGGGCCCAGTACCCGGTAGGAGGGTATTTCAGCAATGGTCTAGAGTCCCCTTTACAGTATCTGTTTTGTGTGGTACACTATTCTGCCTACTGCTGGAAGATAGAGAACAGACCTCTGTCATCTATGTTTTGGTTGTCTCCAAATCTGTTATCACAGACACCTTGTATAAGGCTAGCTTTACAAGGAGCTTGGAAATGTCCTCTGGCTTCTTGCCTGTTAACAGCGATGAAGCAATATAGAATTTTTGAAAGGGAATAAATATTAAACTTGTATGGACTTTGAACTGTTTGACGCATGCACGTGAGCCAACAGCTAATTTCCAGGCCAAATTTAAAAGTTTTGTTTTTCTTAAAATTGTCCGCCCACACCATAAGCAAGAGATGGGAACTTCAGGTCCGTGCAGGTCTGCAGTGCAGGTGGATTTTTTCAAATAAATAAATAAATAAATAAATCAGAGTGAAATGAATCAGGTAACTAAATGTTAACCCTTCCAGTTAATTAATATCTTGTGGCATTCATTATAATTCTGTTGTACTCTTGGTCGTGGTGATAAAAACTTAGGGTTTTGAGGATGCCCATGCCAATATCTATGCTTACAAGTAGGCATGGTGGCTAAGATAGGAGAATAGTTTGTTATATGCTATACAGTATTTAAATTAGATTGCATCATTTCTCTAAAACAGTATTTCAAGGCCTTTCATTGCCCTGAGAATCAGATTAAGGATACATATTTTCTAGGTGTAAAAATAGAGCTTCCCACTCTCCCATCCAGGGAGTAGGATGAATAGTCCTTTATATAGACTGGTTAATAACTTGTGCAACAAATCCTGTACTTTACTTAGATTGACAAATGATTTTAGATCTGTTTTCCTTCAGTTATTTTTAAGCCACTGACTTAATTTTCTCCTTCTTTTCTAGAGAAAATGTTCAGCTGTTGATTGGCAGCTTTCTTCCTGTGAACTGCTGCCTGTGTCCTCGTGCTAGAAAACTAGAGTTCCATGACCTACACGTGCTTTGGTGCTCTGCTTCCCAAGAGCAGTCATGTATTAGTTATTTTCGACGATTCGTCTTGTTCCAGAGGAGTTACTTCACTGGTATTCTGGAATACAAGGTGCTCAATGAATCGGGAGCCCCCATGAATGAATCAGCCAGCTCTTGCCAACAGATGGCCAAAAACTGCACCACACATGTAGCAGGGATGGCACAAGAGGACAGGGGTCAAGTGCCACCCACTTTCTATCATGGTGCCAGCCAGGAACTTGACTTGTCCACCAAAGTGTACAAAAGGGAGTCTGGCAGTCCTTACTCTGTACTGGTGGACCCAAAAACAAGTAAGCCACATCTCCATGAAAAAGAGGAGCAGCCATATTTCAGGGAGGACAGAACAGTAGGAGAGGTCCAAGCTGTGAAAGAAGACAGGGAGAACTCTGACGACTTGCAGGAGGAGGACGAGGAGGAAGATGAAGTGACTTACAAAAGGGAGCAGATAATAGTAGAGGTAAACCTCAACAACCAAACATTAAATGTATCAAAAGGGGAGAAGGGGGTCCCCTCCCAATCCAAAGAAACTGCTGTTCTTAAGACCAGCAGTGAGGAAGAGGAGGGTGACAGTGGGGAGGAAGAGGCCACTGAAGACAGTAATGAGGAGGAGGAGAATGAGAGGCAGAAGAAAAAAGAGCAAAGAGAGGAGAAAGATAGTGTTGCACAAAGGAGGACAAGGAGAGCTGCATCTGCTGCAGCCACCACAACTTCCCCTACTTCCAGAACTACAAGGGGCCGTAGAAAGAGCATTGAGCCCCCCAAGCGTAAGAAGAAAGCTGCAAAGGAGCCCAAGGCACCTGTGCAGAAATCAAAGTGTGAAGAAAAGGAGACTTTGACCTGTGAGAAGTGCCCCAGAGTGTTTAACACACGCTGGTATCTGGAGAAGCACATGAACGTCACTCACAGGCGCATGCAGATCTGCGACAAGTGTGGGAAGAAATTTGTGCTAGAAAGTGAGCTCTCCCTTCACCAGCAAACAGACTGTGAAAAAATCATTCAGGTAGGTTCTCTCGCCTGCTTGCCAGATTTCCCTGCCTTCTGCTGTCCCTTGGACATTTGAAAGGGGGGAAATCCTTTGAGAAGAACAAAGTCCCAAGCCTTTTTACTTCTGTCAACATTTCCTGTTGCACACCCAAGGAAACTAACCTGTGCGAATATGGGGATGGGAGGAAATAATGGCTGCAGTTAGGGTTTCTCTACACAACTTTACAGAAGAAATAGAACATCAGAAGTGGAATGTGCACTTGCTTCATACACTAGTTATTCTTTAGTGGAATTTGATTTCCAGAGATCATGGGCATAAATGTAAAGCTAAGGTTGCTGGTCCTGGGTAAATCATACTAAACCTTATGGAGTCTCAGTGATAGGTTTTCATAAGGAAGTTGAAATGGTTTGATTTGGTGAGTTGTTACGATGAGGGATAAGTCCAGATCTAGCTTCACACTTTGTTCTTTTTCAATATAGTTGTCACTGCCATGTAAGAAATTTGTAAATAATATTGCAGTGTGTAGCAAATGATTGGGTGTCTAAGCAACACACATTCTGTATGGCCAATCACACCCTTTTGCTTTAAGATGTATGTTGTGAGATGCAGATTTATGCACACATTGTTTAGAAATCTCGGTACATGAAACATTTTGAGGTTCCACAGAAAAGCAGCTGATTTCTGTGCAGATTATAGCCTATGTTTCTGCCACAGTGATATGCATGAGGAACTCTAAAGCCTACCGGAGTTCACTTCTCTTGCTGTCTACCTCAGACTGTCTATTTATTCAGAATTTCAGGAAACCAAATCTCCCACAGGCATTCAGGTTCTATACTGCACAGCTGCCTGTGAAGGAAACATTCAAAGCCCACAGATCTTGCAGACTATTGATAATTTAAATCCTCAGCACATCTGACAATTAGCCCTGTCACACCGGTATGGTGAAATTCAGAAAAAGGGTTTCAGTTGTGGTAAACAAGGATACACACATAGAAATAGAATGAGCTAGTGTTACAATTTGGTAATTTTAGACCATTATGTTAAAAGTGGTCTTAAGAATGTAAGAGTCCTATGTTTTGTGGGGCAGACTTGGTGATTCTCTAATTGTGGGGAGTGGAAGTAGAATGAGGTAGTTCTTGTACTAACAAAAGTGGTAAATTGTTTTAGATGACATGCTAAGTAACAAAAATGCAGCTTGGACGTGGTTCTGCATAACACTTGAATGTTATATTTTCTAAATTTAGAGAACTAGCTTTTGATAAAATCTGCCCAGCAGCCCTTGTTCTAGGTCCCAGAAATAACCTCATTACTCGAAGTCACATTATATTTGCAGCCTCCTCCCACTTTCCATTCTGAGACTTATTAACCAGATGTGGATTCTGTGATTGACACCTGCCATTCTCACCCATAAACGGACCTTTGGGCACCTTTTGGCTGTGTTTGCTGTCTTGACCAATAAAGAGCTCTGGATAACTCAACATTGCACAGTTTTATGGTATATTACTTGGCCTAGTATTTCCTTGACATGGGTTTTGAATTTCAAAAGAAGCTAACATGTTAGTCTGTTGCAGGAAAAATTTTGTGACATAAAAGATGAATAAATTTATTATAGGACAAGATTTTGTCAACTAGTCTGGTTCCTGGGATACTTGAAATGTTAATTGATGTTACACGTTTATATATTGTGCATGTAGTTGGAAGAATGTGTGTGTGATCAGAAGAGAATAAAACAGGGAAATAGAGATTAAAAACAGTTAAATATCACATTTTATTATGGCAGAGGCTGTTGTGGCTAACAACCTCCTTCATCTAATGCATGAAATGTTACATCATTTGATGCATGAAATTTTATTTCAACTCACAGATTCTTGGATGTGTAAAGGATTATAATCAGTGGGTTCAAGTGAAATTGACATACAGAAAGTACAGACTACTGTTATAATAGCCTCTAACAATGGCCAAAATCCTGGTTTGTATCTATGCCTGTGTAACTCAAAGTTGCTCAAGCAGTTGAGAAATTTGTACGTTAGTCATATTCAGCAAGCAAATCCACATGCATAATGGTGCAAGTAGTTGTGCAGTCAATGTAGTCTGCCTGGGCATAACTCTCTATGAACTGTTACAGGCATAACCTTCTGCTATGCAAGTGCAATAGGATTTCAGCCACTGTTTGGAAACAGACATTGATATAAAAATTCTATCTAGAACTAGAATTTTTATAACACCTCTGCCTAGAAGATGAGCTGTTTAATGTGTGTAATACAATAAAAAATCCTTGTCTCTGTGTAAACCTCAGGAGTACTTAAACATATACAGTACCGTATTTTTCTATTTATAGCATGCCCCTGTTTATAAGACACCTCCCATCACACTTTTCTAACCCAAAAATTAAGAAAACTTAGCTTCGAGTATTCAGCCTCTGGGCTCGGAATGCTCGGACATTAGGAGTCCCTGTTAAATCTGAGCACTGCCTACAAAGGTCCACCTTCGACGAGGTGTGTTCCAATTGGTTTGTTCAGCGTCAGCTGACATCAGTTCCATAAGGCTTGTGATTGGAGGAAGCTAAATTCCCTGACCATAGGAAGCTAAGCTTCATGACTGAAGGAGGCCTGTTTACACAGGCAAGGTACGGCCCTTTTTGTTCTCTCCTCAGCTGTCTCAGCTTACTTCCATGTAAAAGACGCCCCTCAATTTTTAGTGTAATGATTTTAGGAAAAAGTAGTGTCTTGTACACGGAAAAATATGGTAGTCACAACATATATTTCACATGAGAAACAAATAGAGGAATCCCAACCTGTGGTATGCCTATATATCGACTATGGTGACGTAGTCTCTACATTTACTGTTTACAGAACCTAATAAATAGCATTACAACACCATGCATTGATATACTATTTATCTTCCAATGAGATCTATGCCAGCATTTACAGTAGTGCCCTACAGCAATAATAAGTAGGACAGTCTCTGCACAGAAGAATAAATGATCACAAATCTGATATCAGAATAGCAGTATTAAAAAAAACAGTGCAAAGTGCCTCAGTCTTCTAGGACACTCAGTCTCTGACCTCAAACTGGCTACTCCTGAACATAAGAACTTCAAAAATAGATTCTGGTTAGAAAAAGAACAACTGCAAGGATTTATGGATTACCACCTAAATATTGTTAAGAATAGAGATGGGTACGATTTAAAAAATAAATCACCAAAATTGTTCAGAAATTCCTAATTCATTGATTGGTATTCATACAAATCAGTGCCTCTGATTAATCATGAATCAGTGAATTTTAGTTATTTTTGATTTGTCAATTTATTTGGCTATAAAATGGCTCCCAAGGCACCTCAACATTGCAGGGAAGCCTTCTTTGACTCTTCTCTACAACCCCATCAAGTTTGGTGAAGATTGGATTTCAGAAACCCGAGTTATATGCCCACAAAGAGAGAGCCCCCCAAGGAAATTCACCTCCCCAGCACCTAGAGACATCAAAGTCACAGGGAAGCTTCTACTGACTCTCCTCTACAATCCCTCCAAGTTTGGTGAAGATTGGGTTTTCCCAAGCCTCCTGATAAAGGTCACTTCCCTTGGGGGGATGCACTTTGTGGATATATAACCTGGTTGTCTGAACCCCAATCTTTACCAAACTTGGAGGGATTGTAGAGGAGAGTTGGGGGAAGCTTCCCTGCAATTTTGTTATCTCTAGGTGCCTGGAAGAACTATCCTTGGGGGCTACTTGTAGGTGTATAACCCAGACATCTGAAACCCAGACATTACCAAACTTGCAAGACTTGTAGAGGAAACTGAGAGGAAGCTTCCCTGCAAATTTGGTTTCTAGGGGCTCTCAGGGGGCTGTTTTATAGGATTTTAAAGTAAAAAAAATGAATTGATGAATCAATTTGACAGAAAAAATGTAATTTGTGACTTGTCATTGAATCAAAATCACAATTTTTCTGATTCATACCCATCTCTATTTAAGAATTACTGTTAAGATAATTATGTCTGTATTTTCTGCATTTCAACTCCTTTTACCCCACCCATGCCAACATTTGTATGATAATCCTTCTCAGGGGACACACATTTTTTAAAGTGAGCTATAATCCATTAATATTTATTCTGTAATAAAATATGCTAATCTGTAGAGTTCTTCTATTGTTTTATTTCAACAAACTGAAATGCTTAACTGATCATTTTTAAAGCTAATTAAACTAATTAACACATGTGTGATTAGAAATCTCATTGAAACCACATGTTTTAATGAACCTCTTGATAAACTGTAATTCAGTCTTCCTTCAGTGAAAAGGAAGAAAGCTACATAATCCATAGAGTCACCTTAATACACATTGTTTTAACACAGATGTTGACTCTGTAACATAAAGGACAACTTCAGGATCTTCTTGTTTTTTTCTCCACCCTTACCAACTCTGCAGTGCCTGGCCTGAAGAAGGACTGACCTAGAATTACAAGCTCACTTGTTTTTAATGTTCTAGTGGGCCAATAAAGGTATTACAGTACTCTTATTTTTGGAGTCTGTCTTTGATCAGGAATTGCAGCCTTAAAGGTCAGAATGTTCTGAGAAATGATGCTGCTTCTTTTTTTAAACAGTGCAGCTTCTGATAAATTTCTGTCCACATATTCTTTTGTGCCATTCTTTCCAAAAAGATATCACTTGCTATTCTGTAGGTGATCTCTCTCCTAATTGGCAAATTTTTCAAAAGCCCCCAAAGTTACAAGGGTCTATGATTAATGCTTTTCTCTTACCTTCAGAATTTCCTTCATACTGTCATTGAACCGTAATTATAGTCCCTGTCAAAAATGTAACTCAGCCCCCATATGCTATACTGCAGGTTCTTAGCTGGAGCAAAGCTGATAAAAATGCATGATATCTTAAATTTCCCAGAAGTTTTCATATGCCACAGAATCCAGCTAAAGAAAAATCATCTTTATGTTTCTATTAAACTTATTGATATACTTTATTATATGTAGATTATACATTCACATGATGATATACAAGAGATGGCATTC